TTCTCAAGCCTGTAATCCTTGTTTTTTTTTTTCTTGGGAGGCCTGTGTTACGGCGCGGATCACGAGGTCAGGAGATCGAGACCATCCTCGCTAACCGGTGAAACCCCGTCTCTACTAAAAATACAAAAAAAAAACTAGCCGGGCGGGCGGTGGCAGGGCCCTGTAGTCCCACGGCTACTCGGGAGGCTGAGGCAGGAGAATGGCGTAAACCCGGGAGGCGGAGCTTGCAGTGAGCTGAGATCCGGCCACTGCACTCCCGCCTGGGCGACAGAGCGAGACTCTGTCTCAAAAAAAAAATAAATAAATAAAAATAAATAAATAAATAAATAAAATGGATTGAAAAGTTACATATAAGAGAACTGAAAGTCAAAATCCTGTTCTAAATGATTTACAATGTAGGTAGGAAGCAAAACTTACATATAAGATATTTTGGGAAAAACCAAAGCTATTTAGTTAAATGCTTTCTATTGTAATTGCTATAGAGGTCCCAAGAATGAAAAGTAAAGAAGGGAAATAACATTTACTCAACACCTGATGTGTATCAAGTGTTGTGCACATAAATTATTTCAATGTTGACAACACTGAGAGAAAATTATTATCTCTTCTTCACAGGTTAAACAACTCACAAGTGGTATGGGTGAAATCAGATGCCACATTTTTCTGATACTTAAGATCACGTTCTTTATGCCGTATTACAGAGAGATAAGACTAGTATGGGTAAAATAATCTGAGATGATTTCTTTTCCAATGAAGACAATATGTGAACTAAAGAGTTGGTAAGAAAAGATGGCAAAGATGTAGAGGCAGAAATTACCTCATATAACACAGTGGAGGTGAGAGGTGAGGAAGAGAAAAGGGTAGTTAAAAAAGAAACGTGGGCCGGGTGCGGTGGCTCACGCCTGTAATCCAAGCACTTTGTGAGGCCGAGCTGGGTGGATCACCTGAGGTCAGGAGTTCGAGACCACCCTGACCAACATGGAGAATCCCTGTCTCTACTAAAAAAACAAAATTAGCCAGGCATGGTGGCACATGCCTGTAATCCCAGCTACTCGGGAGGCTGAGGCAGGAAAATCACTTGAACGGGAGGCAGAGGTTGTGGTGAGCCGCGATCACACCATTGCACTCCAGCCTGGGCAACAAGAGTGAAACTCCGTTAAAAAAAAAAAAAGGCCAGGCGCGGTGGCTCACTCTGTAATTCCCTTTGGGAGGCTGAGGCGGGCGGATCATGAAGTCAGGAGATCGAGACCATCCTGCCTAACACAGTGAAACCCCATCTCTACTAAAAATACAAAAAATTAGCTGGGCGTGGTGGTGGGCACCTGTAGTCTCAGCTACTCCGGAGGCTGAGGCAAGAGAATGGGGAACCCAGGAGGCAGAGCTTGTAGTGACCCGAGATCGCACCACTGCACTCCAGCCTGGGCAACAGAGTGAGACTCTATCTCAAAAAAAAAAAAAAAAAAAAAAAGAAACGTGACAAGTGAGAAGAGTAAAAGATACCATAAAAAGCAGGCTTGATTGTACCAGATGTTACTAACACAAAAATATTAGGCAATAAATATCTACATTATATGTAAATCTATACCTAATTTTCATATCCCCCACTTCCAAAATGTATTTGAGGAGTCCAAGAATAAAAGAAAATATTAAAAATATATTAATACATAAAGAGCTGGAGAAGATAGGAGTGGGAGGATACCGTATATAAAGAACGTCTCACCCACAGCTTTGTCTTTCCTCAGGTACTGTTACCAGTAACCTGCTTATTGGCTCAAAGGTCCAACCCTTTGTCTGGAGTCCAAGATTGATTTGAGGGAAAAGGCAAGCTATGTTTCTGCTCAACTCCAGGGTGAAGTTAGAGGTCTGAGGAAAGAACAAGGTGCATTTAAATGAAATTCAAGTTTTGGAAGACATCAGAAAGGAAATTTTCAATTCCTTTCTTGTACAACCTAGCTGTTCAAGTTACCACACATTTCAGTCTTTCTAATAAAGCTGCTTTCCGAGGAGGAGGAAGAGCAGGAGCAGGAGGAGGAGGAGGACAAGGACAGGGAGGAGAAGATAGGTGCTCAATATTAAAAAAAAAAAAAAAAAACAAGGCTAAAATTATGATTGATCATTATCTGAACTGCTCAGATTCCAGACAGTCAATGCCAAAGGAATACTCTGTACAATGAATTATGTGATTCCTACTTGCCTAGAACTATTTATAGGAGATAAGCAAGACCTTGCTGAGAAACACTAAGACCTACATCAACTGAGAGGCTCATGTTATTAGAAGAGTGCCCCATTGTCTCTTGGGCCTTTTGGTTAAGATCAAGTGTAGAAGAGTTTCCAAATTTCTACTCATAAAATTATACATACAATGCAATTTCATCAAAATTCCAAGAGACGTTTGGGTGCAACCAAGCTAATTCAAAAATTGACATGAAAATGCAAAGAAATACAAACAGCCTAGACACTCTTGAGGAAAAAGAAGGTGAGTGTACTTGCTCCAAATACAAAGTTACAGTGAGTAAGACAGTATGGTATTACTGTGAGGAGTAACAAATAGACCAGCGGAACAGAATCCAGAAATAGACATAGACATATATGTTTACTTGATTTTTTTACTAAAATGGCGCTGCATATCAGTGCAGAAAATATTAACTTTCCAATAAATGATACCATAATAACTGAATACACACCTGGGGGAAAAATGAAATTGAATCCTACCCTACAAAAATTCCAGGTGGTGTAAAGACCTAAACGTTAAAGCCAAAATCCAGAAAGTTTTCGGCTTGGCTAGGTGCGGTGGCTCATGCCTACAATCCCAGCACTTTGGAAGGCTGAGGTAGGCAGATCACCTGAGGTCAGGAGTTCCAGACCAGTCTGACCAACATGGAGAAACCCTGTCTCTACTAAAAATACAAAATTAGCCAGGCGTGGTGGTGCATGCCTGTAATCCCAGCTACTCAGGAGGTTGAGGCAGGACAGTTACTTGAACCCAGGAGGCAGAGTTGCGGTAAGCGGAGATAGGCCACTGCACTCCAGCCTGGGCAACAAGAGCTAAACTCCATGTCAAAAAAAAGGAAGGAAGGAAGGAAAGGAAGGAAAGGAAGGAAAGGAGAGAAAGAAAGAAGGAAGGAAGGAAGGAAGGAAGGAAGGAAGGAAGGAAGGAAGGAAGGCAGGCAAGCAAGTTTTTGTCTTTAACACCAAAGAAAATCTTCATTACCTTAAGGTAGACAAAAATTTCTTAAACAAGACTAACCATAGGAAATGATATTATTAAAATGAAACCCAGAACTTCTGTTTGTCAAAAGGCACCACATAGAGTGAAAAGCCAAACCAGAGCAGGCGAAAATACTTATCACACATGCAACTGAAAAAAAAGATTAATTTACAGAAGATATATACACATATGTACAACTGCTGCAAATCAGAGAAAAACAACCCAATTAAAAATTGGTCAAATATTTGAACAACATCTTATAAAAGGGGACATTCAACTGCACTCCAGCCTGGGCAATAGAGACTCAGTCTCAAAAAAAAAAGGGGGGGATATTCAAATGGCCAAGAATCAGTGCTCAACTTTATTAGTAATAAAGGAAATTTAAATTAAATATAAATTAGACACCCACCAGATTGGCAAACATTTAAGAGTTTTATGATGCCAAGGGCTAGCATGGAGGTGGAGCTAAGAAAACTCTTGTAAACTGCTGGCAAAAGTACAGTATCTTTAGAGAACAGTTTGGCAATGTTTGGTAAAACTGAAGATGTACAAACCCTACCTATCAGCAATTTTTTTTTTTTTTTTTGAGATGGAGTCTCACTCTGTTGCCAGGCTGGAGGACAGCGGCATGATCTCGGCTCACTGCAACCTCTGCCTCCAGGGTTGAAGTGATTCTCCACAGCCTCCCGAGTAGCTGGGACTACAGATGCACGCCACCACGCCCAGCTAACTTTTGTATTTTTAGTAGAGATGGGGTTTCACCATGTTGGCCAGGATGGCCTCGATCTCTTGACCTCATGATCTGCCTGCCTTGGTCCCCCAGAGTGCTGGGATTACAGGCATGAGCCACCGTGTCCAGCCACTATTAGCAATTTAATCACTAGGTATATACACTACAGAAATGCAAGCAAATGTGTACCAAAATATGCACACAAAATGATCATAGTCACACTGCCTGTAGTAGCCAAAAATGACAAGATAAATGTCCATCAAGAGTAGAAGGATAAGGCCAGGGACAGTGGCTCATGCCTATAATCTCAGCACTTTGGGATGCTGAGGCAGGCGGATCACCTGAGGTCAGGAGTTCAAGACCAGCCTGGCCAACATGGTGAAACCACATCTTTACTAAAAATATAAAAATTAGCCAGGCCCGGTGATACACACCTGTAATCCCAGCTACTTGGGAAGCTGAGGCAGGAGAATCACTTGAACTCGGGAGGCAGTTGCAGTGAGCCAAGATCGTGCCATTGCACTCCAGCCTGGGCAACAGAGCGAGAATCCGTCTCAAAAACAAACAAAAAAGAGTAGAAGGTAAGTAAATTATAGTATGTCCATATAATGGGATAGTATACATATAGCAATAAAAAATGAACTGTTAGCTGGGTGCAGTGGCTCTTGCCTATAATCCCAGCATTTTGGGAGGCTGAGGAGGGTGGATCACCGGAGGTCAGGAGTTCGAGACCAGCCTGGCCAACATGGCGAAACCCAGTCCCTACTGAAAATACACAAGTTAGCCGGGTGTGGTGACACGTGCCTGTAATCCCAGCTACTCTGGAGGCTGAGTGAGGAGAATCGCATGAACCCAAGAGGCAGAGATTGCAATGAGCCGAGATCTCGCCACTGCATTCCAGCCTGGGTGACAGGGCAAGACCCTGTCTCAAAAAAAAAAAAAAAAAAATTAACTGTCACTTTTATTATGTAGTCTTTTGTGAAAAAAAGAAACAAAAGAATGTCTATTCATACAAAGTTAGAAAACAAACAAAAATTGCAATTCTGTGCCTTTGGGATTAATTCATAGGTACTAAAGCTCTAATGAAGGGCAAAGAAATGACCACAGTGGTTATCATCACAGAAGCACAGTGTTGTTTGTGACTGTAGAGGAGTAGAGTAGAGGCTTCTTCAGTGATGGATGTATTCTAGTTATTGATCTGGGTACCCCTTACATGGATCTTTATAATTACTTGTTAAACTGCACAAGTTGGTATTTTACTTGTTTTTTTGTTTTTTGTTTATTTTGAGACGGAGTCTTGCTCTGTCGCCCAGGCTGGAGTGCAGTGACCGGATCTCGGCTCACTGCAAGCTCCGCCTCCCGGGTTCACACCCTTCTCCTGCCTCAGCCTCCCGAGTAGCTGGGACTACAGACGCCCGCCACCTCGCCTGGCTAGTTTTTTGTATTTTTTAGTAGAGACGGGGTTTCACCGTGTTAGCCAGGATGGTCTCGATCTCCTGACCTCGTGATCCGCCCGTCTCGGCCTCCCAAAATGCTGGGATTACAGGCTTGAGCCACCGCGCCCGGCCTGTATTTTACTTGTTAAGCTGAACAAGTGGGTGTTTTACTTACTAAACTGCATGAGTGGGTCCCATTTCTTTACCGAATTTGAAGAAAAAAGCTGTTGGCATTCAAATAAATGTTATGGATCTCTAAAAATATTTTCAAAATATACTATGTGGGAAAATATTTAATTTTATGTGAAAATGTAGGATATAAAATGGCAAATGCTGCATGAATTCAATTATGCTTTATGTGCATATATAAATTTTCTACATCAGGGATTTCTGTACTTTTGAAATTATTTAAAACAATCATGTTTTACTTTCATAATCTGAAAGAAATCACATTTTTTAAAAAGATAGCATAAAGAAAAATTAAAACCGAGTGCGGTGGCTCACACCTGTAATCCCAGCACTTTGGGAGGCTTAGGCAGGCGGATAGATCGTGCCCAGGAGTGCAAGACCAGCCTGGGCAACAAGGTGAAACCCTGTCTCTACTAAAAATAGAAAAATTAGCCGGGCTTGGTGGCATATGCCTGTAATTCCAGCTACTCAGGAGGCTAAGACAAGAGAATTGCTTGAGTCCGGGAGGTGGAAGCTGAAGTGAGCCAAGATCGCACCACTGCATTCCAGCCTGGGCGACAGAGCCAGATTCTGTCTCAAAAAAATAAATAAATAAATAAATAAAAGAAAGAGAGAGGAAAAAAAAAAGAAAAATTAAAATTGTCTGACAAATTAGTAAGAGAAAATCAGGTGTTGGAGGTGGGGTTTGAAGACACCACATTTTCTCAAAAGGGAAATTCCAGGGATCAGGTCATCTGATAAGCAAGAATTTTCAAGAGAAGGAAAGCAAGTATGTCCTGACAAAGAAAAAGGGATTTCAGGAAACAAGAGGAAAGGACAAGCTACCTTGCAGGTGCCTTGAGGATGTTCAACAGTCATTCTTTACTCCTCTCCGGAGGTCTCTATCCAAGCAGGGCAGAGCTGAGGAAGGAGAAAGGAGTCAGTCAGGAAACATCAGGTTCTTCTGAGAGAGATCCGGTTTGACTATGTCAGAAGTTATCTTCGCTACCCTACTGCCCACCACCTACAGAGTAAAGTCAAAGAAGTCTAGGACATCCTGCTCAATCCGGGCAGGGTCAATGCCGTTCTGGGCAGAATCTGTTTCTGAGCTCACAGAGGTCTCCAGTGGCTGAAGTCACAAAGACAGAGACTCCCCATACCTACATTGGCTATATAGACACATAGTCACACAAACTCACTCACTCACACCATGGGGACATAAACGTCACAGGTACCCCAAACCTAAACACAACAGGCTGCACATGGTCACACAATCACACACTCACACACACCACGGGGGCAGACACGGACACAACTGCAGAGTCCGTGGACATCTCGCACTCAAACTCCCAGTGACATATGCCTTGGGGTCGCAATGACAACAAAGTCACACGCACCCTACATCAACAATATCACCAACACGCGCGCGCGCACACACACATGGAAGCAGCCACAAACCTCACAATTAAGGCATATACACACAGTTCCGCAAATGGTAACACACACGCAAAGGGGACACACAGTCACAACTGCGGTCCAGGAACCTCACACTCGCAAACACAGTGTCCAACCCGGTAACAACTAAACTCCACTCACACCTGCACAAACAGAAACAAAAAGTCCTCCCCGCCCTCACAGTTCCATACACCGTCGCACAGACACACGCCCACCATAGAGACACCCCCAGTCACAACCGTACACACTCCTCACAATCGCTCCTTTGCCTGCTCCCTACGCAGCCCACACAGGTCGGGAGTTCCTCTCGCCCCAGGCTCCGAGCAGCCTCACTTACGCCTGTTCGGGTAGGGTCAGCTCCACTCCACTGGAATCCAAACAAGCCGACCCCAGCTATCTCACAAAGCCCCAAGGCCGCCAGCCCAAACCCGCGGGAAGATCCCGCCCACTCCTCAAGAGACAATCTAGTTAACGCGGGAGAGAACCCTGAGCCTAGAGGCTTCTGGGAAGTGTAGTCCAGAAAGCGACAGGTTGCCGAAAGCTGTCACAGCCCAGCCATCCCGATTCCCGTGGCGCGGAATCTGGCACCAACAAAACTAAATATTTGAGGTGAGCTGCCCATCGGAGCCTTCCGGGAGTCTCACCTGACAAGGACTCCCTAGACCAAGCTTTAGTCAGGCTCCTCTGAGCCCTTTTTGTTTGGCCAGACCTCCTCCATAGCCTGCGAATCAGCAAGAATCCAGCTAAGCCAGTTTAGCAACAATCCCCCCACCCTTGATACTTGAGTTCCTCTTAGTAATTTACCATGCTTTAACTCCTTCACCCAGCCCGTTAGTTATAAATCTCCAGCTACTGTTGTATTGGAAGTTGACTATTGCAATAGTCTTTAACCAAGTCCTTCTTGCCTGTTTAACTCCTCTGGAGTAAGTTTTCTTTCACCCCGCCCAGCCTCAGAGGGCGGCTCCCGGGCTTCCGCCCCTCCCCGGGAGACATACTGGACCGCAAGGTCTCCTGGGAAACGTAGTCCAAGCCTCGCCGGAGACTGGATGGGCCCAGCCAAAGTGGGCTGCGTCCTCTGGGTCCTGAGGCGGGAGTCTGGCCGCAGTGACTAGACTAACTGTGCCCCGGAGGCTGCTCGGAATTCCACTTAATGCTGGAAGCATGCAGACGCTCTTGAGACGGGCAGCTGTGTAGCGTGTGGAGGAGCCGGGAGAGTGCACTGCAATATGGGACCTGAGCGTCTGAGACCGAACGAGGATGGGGAGTCGGAAGGGGACAAATCCGCGATCCCAGTCACGCATGCGAGACTGGGCAAAGGAAGGCTCGAGTGTGTGTAAGACTGCGGTGGACTGCTTGTGCTGGTGAGATGAGGGGTGTCTGGGTAGTTGAGTGAAAGAAACCGCGTGCCAGTAAGATTGGTGCATGTGTGAGAAAGCTGAGGTCAAGATGTGTGCACCTTTGCGGGTGGGGAGGTCATATGGAGTGTGTGGAGGTTGGGGGCAACTCCAACTCGTGTATGGATCTGTGTGTGAATGTGTGTAATCACCTAAATGTGGGTCACTGCATGGGTAGCTGATACTATGACTGTGGAGGAATCTGAACCTCCAAGTCTCATTTTCTCTTTAAATTGTGATAAGTTTGTATCTTCCTGGAGCAGCAATTTCAAAGGGGGGAAGCTCCATTATTGATATAATAAAATAGCATTTTTATGTAAACATTTAACATTCAGACATTTCTTCTGAACTAGAAAACAAAATCAGTATGAGTACTCAAAGTAGTTTTAAAAAAAAACCCATCATTATGCATATGGGGAAGATAAATTGTGAAAGGGAAACTTCCTTTTTTCACTATAATCTTGTTTAAATTTTTAAAATCAATGTGATGACTTATTTGAAAACAAATATAAAATTAAAAAACTGACAGAAACGGGAACTAGGAGGAAATCAATAACTTTTTAAGCTAGAAACTTTGGGAGGTGGCAGAGGTTGCTGAAATATGATGGCGGGAAGTATATGACAACAGGAAATGCTGACGTAAAATCTAATCCTGAAGCTTTTAACAATGGCAGGAAAGGCTGGGCATGGTGGTTCATGCCTAGTGATCCCAAGCACTTTGGAAGGCTGAGGCAGGAGCATCACTTGAGCCCAGCAGTTTGAGACCAGCCTGAACAGCATACTCTCTACAAAAAAAAAAAAAAAGAAAGAAAGAAAAAAAAAACAGCATGAGTGCAGTGGCTCATGCCTGTAATCCCAGCACTTTGGGAAACCGAGGCGGGTGGATCACTTGAGGCCAGGAGTTCAAGACCAGCCTGGCTAATATGATGAAATCCAGTCTGTACTAAAAATACAAAATTAGCCAGACATGGTGGTGTGCGCCTGTAATCCCAGCTGCTAGGGAGGCTGACGCAGGAGAATGGCTTGAACCTGGGAGACAGAGGTTGCTGTGAACTGAGATTCGCAGCCCCTCCCACCCCCACACCCCATCTCTGTATGGGGGAACTTCTTCCTACTGTCTTCTCCCTTCCTTCTTGCCTATTAAACTCTCCGCTCCTTAAAACAAAACAAACAAACAAAGACCCAAAAAACAAAAACAACAAAATTTGGACTATACAGGGAAGCGATCTATACCTAATGTGGCTCTGTTGCTCTAGTTCTCCAGCATCACATTCCTGTGCAGCTCCGTCTGAACATCTTTTAATTGTGGCTAAGACTCTTGGTTGAATGAGGCAATCACATTTTTGTATGTTTACCCCACCAATGTCTCCTAAAGAACAGAAAAAATTAAATGCCTGTGGGAGGTCTGGGAAATAAGCTGTTTGAACACAGCCCTTTGTGTTTTTATGGAGGCTTCATTACGTAGGCATGATTAATTAAATCAGCAGCGATTGGTGATGAGTTCAACCTTCAACCCTTTTCCTTTCCCCAGAAGTCACGGGGCAGGGCAGAACTTTCCAACCTTCTCATCACATGTTTGGTTGCCCTATCCTGTGGTTATGTAGGGGCTTTCCCAACATCACCTCATTAACTCACTTGTGGTTGAAAGGGGTTGGTTATGAACAATAAAGACATCTTTCACATTTATTACTTTGGTGCTATTTCAGGAACTGAAGTGTCTTAGTCCCTTAGTACTTCTATAGCAAAATACCTGAGACTAAGTAATTTGTAAATAACGGAAAATTATTTCCCACAGTTCTGGAGGTTGGGAAGTTCGAGATGCCAGCAGGATTGGTGTCTGCTAGGTCTGATCTCTGCTTCCAAGATAGGACCTTGTTGCTGCATCCTCCAGAGGGGAGGAATGCTGTGTCCCCACTTGTCAAAGGTACTGAAGGGCTGGACTCATTCCCTCAATCCGTTTTTTTTTTTTTTTTTTTTTTTGAGACGGAATCTGGCTCTGTTGCCCAGACTGGAGTGCAGTGGCGCAATCTCGGCTCACTGCAAGCTCTGCCTCCCGGGTTTACGCCATTCTCCTGCCTCAGCCTCCTGAGTAGCTGGGACTACAGGCGCCCGCCACCACGCCCGGCTAAGTTTTTGTATTTTTAGTAGAGATGGGGTTTCACTGTGTTAGCCAGGATGGTCTCCATCTCCTGACCTTGTGATGTGCCCTTCTTGGCCTTCCAAAGTGCTGGGATTACAGGCGTGAGCCACTTCGCCTGGCCTCCTCAATCCTTTTTTTTAAAGCACGAATTCCATCTATGTAGGCTCTTCCCTCATAATCTAATCACCTCCTAAGGACTCCACTTCTTTTTTTTTTTGAGACAGAGTCTCTCTCTGTCGCCTAGGCTGGAGTACAATGGCGTGATCTTGGCTCACTGCAACGTCCGCCTCCCCAGTTCAAGTGATTCCCCTGTCTCAGTCACCAGAGTAGCTGGGATTACAGGCACATGCCACCAAGCCTGGCTAATTTTTGTATTTTTAGTAGAGACGGGGTTTCACCATAGTGGCCAGCTGGTCTCAAACTCCTGACCTCAGGTGATCCGCCCGCCTTGGCCTCCCAAAGTGCTGGGATTACAGGCGTGAAGGGCTCCACTTCTTAGTCTAACACATTGGCAATTAAGTTTCAATATATGAATTTTGGGGACACATTCAGAACATAACCAAGGACAAAAGAACAAGTGTTTTTGTTTTGTTTTGTTTCTTCCCAAGACAGAGTCTTACTCTGTTGCCCAGGCTGGAGTGCAGCAGCGCAATCTCAGCTCACTTCTACCACTGCCTCCCAGGTTCAAGCAATTCTGCCTCAGCCTCCTGAGTAGCTGGGATTACAGATGTGCGTCACCACACCCGGCTAATTTTTGTATTTTTAGTAGAGACAGGGTTTCACCATATTGGCCAGGCTGGTCTCGAACTCCTGACCTCGTGATCTGCTCGCCTTGGCCTCTCAAAGTGCTGGGATTACAGGTGTGAGCCACCGAACCCGGCTAAGAACAAGTGTTTTAACAGAAAATACTCTGTTTAGGAAACTACAAGGGC